CCTATCAGAGGTTATGACAACAAGAAAAAAAAAGCTTGTGCAAAGAATAAAAAGGTGAATACCCCTAATGGTTTAGACAGATTTTTTTTTAAGTGCCAATATTAGCAAATTCAGATACCACAGATACTGAGAAATGCACAGGGGGAGAAAACCTGTACGAACATCTTGATCAAGTTATGGGTATCTAGTACTGTTTGGAACAAGATCCCCAGTGCAGATATCTGGCCCTTGATAGAACTAAGGGCCAATTGTTCATTCAAGCCTAACTGCAGAAAGGACAGAATTCTTCCCACATAGAATTTTCTGGGATTAAAGTTTCTTTCTTTCTTTCTTTGCACTAAGCAAAATATGACTTCCATGTGTGGGAAGTGAATTTCTGCTCTTTCAGGACTGTGGGAATTACCAATTTAGGGTTGTCCTTCAAGAGCTGCACTTCAACAGCCAAGCTGGTAAAGCCGGTGGCCATGAAAGAGGATGGTAAACTGGACCATGGGACAGAAGATCTGATGAAGCCATATCAGTCTGGAGCTATGAGGATCATTGGAATACCCTTAATCTTGATCCTGTGGAGCAGACGATGAAGGAGGTTCAGGGTATGTAAAGTGTAGATAAGACTGTACGGCAATGTGAAGTTCTGCTATAGACAGTATTCTTTTTAATTCTCATGCCGTGGCAAGACTTGTGGTTCCCTCCCTTTGGTGAGGGGGTCTGACTAAAGGCTGAAACTTGTCTCATGATGACTGGATGTTGAGTTGTGTCTGGAAGAGAACAGGGCAAATGGAACTGCATCAGAGGTGGTATCAGCCTAAGAACTCCCATGCATCAGCAGAGTGGAATGACTCTTGAACTGAAGAGTCTAAAGCTTATAAATGAAAAGTTACAATTTTTCTGGGAAAAAAAAAAAAAATCTGGGTTAAGCGCATGTCCAGCACTGGCTTTGGTTGATTGAGGACTCGGCCGAATCTCTTTAAGGTCTGGTTAAACCACGCTATCGGCAAAAAGGCTGTATAGATATCCCACAATGGGGATTGATTCCCTCACAGCACAATAAGGCTAGCATGGGGCCAGGATCATGGTGAAAAACGGCAGTACCAAAGACAGGCAGAATGGTAATGCCACAAATTGAAAGTGTTGAGTGCCTACAGCAAAGTGAAGAAATAGCGGAAAAAAAATATTTTAAGGACACGTAGGTATGCAGCCTTGGAATCCACAGAGGCCAAATTTTTTTCCTGGTGAAAAAGGCCTATGACAGATCTGGCCAATTCCGTGCAGAATTTACAAGCTTGAACTAACACATTTAGACTGTTTAGAAGTGTCCAAATCTGTCCAAATCTCCCTTTCCTCTGAAGCCTGATCAGAGTTTGAATAGTGCTTCAGAGACTACTGACAGGCAGTGAGGAAGCAATGTGATGCCTCTTCTGCCTGTTTTAACAACATTTCTGTGGACAAAATGTGCCCCAACTATGTGCAATGCATGTGGTCGCAGTGCATTTGTGGCACTTCCCCATTTGCGTTAGTGTGTAGCATTCAGCAGGCTTGCCACCTGCTACATGTTGGTGTTAGGTGAACTTTGCTGTGGGTGTGAAGGGAAGCCTCGTAACCGTGGCATGTAAACACCCCCGTCTGCTGCCTACAGCTTTGGGGGGCGGTTAATCAGGTGGCACAAACACAACTCAACAGCGCATTTTTGCTGGGGGGCCCCAACCGCACGTCTAAATAAAGCCATGGATCACACTGAACAGGCCGTAAAAAAAAACCCTGGAAAAGTTACACTGCAGTTACTGGGGTGAGGATGCCTTGGCTGTAAAAACACCACCAAGGACTGCATGGAGATCTGCAAATCTGTGAAGTGACACAGGTAGGTTGGAAGACATGAAAAAAAAAAAAAGAAGGGGAAGAGAGCAGAAATCTAGTTTGTAGCCCCAGAAAGTACCTCCTGAATCTATGCATCCGAGATGCTGGCTGGCCAGATGTCTGCAATTGCTAACAAACATCCCCCTCATGTTGGAAAGTGGGAGCAATCCCTTTGTGACAAAGAAAATTTAATGTGCAGGTTTGGGGACTTTGGAGTCCAAAACTTGCAGATGAACTGAGCTTGCGTTTGGCAGCTGAGGTGTGAAAGTAAACTCTTCTTGCCCCATGTGGAAGGGTAAATATTCTAGGCTAGAATATCGAGGCTCTCTACTGGGACTGATGAGTAACCTTACCCTTGTGTGACATGCTTAATAAGGGTGTCCAAGGTAGCTAAAAGACGCTGTTCCTTGAAGATCATGCACAGCAGCAGTTTTTGAAAAGCACTTTAGCAAAGTTTTCCTCACATTGACTGAGAGGAGACTCATACAGGAGATGAACTGAGTGTCATCCAGAAATAAGTCCCCAAAGTAGCTCAGAGCTGCAGGCAAGAGCTCTAATTGCTTTGGAAGGTGGTCAGATCCTCAAAATGCAGGTTGTACCACGGAGCCTGTCAGAGAGATCAAAGTCCTGGCCAAAATCTTTCATTGATGTGATCTTTAAACAAACAGGAGAGAATTGAAGTATAACGGACTGAAAGGGAGTGTCCTGTACTTCAAGGAAGGGAATTTATAGACAAGTCAAAAATACCCTTTCCTTTATTGTACAATACAGGCATATTCATAGAAGACAGAGATGTCCAAAAGCAATGCAATGAGGGGTGGGCAACAGAGCAAGAAAAACACCAGCAGGCCCACAGTTCAGGTTCTAAGAACCCTAGCACAAACAGCAGCCTGAAGATCTTAACCAAAAAAATGGAACCACCAGACGTCTGAACAGCCACTGGTAGAACTCTGTAAGTATATGAACAAAGGACTAGATAGCAGACTTAAAAAAAACTTGGCGCTGAAAAACTGGATATGGTGGACTGTGCTGTAACTGGTAATGGGGAAAACTCGATCCTTCATACCACTCACCTTAATCCGATTCCTGGCGGCTGAGAAAGTCCACTGGCCAAATTTCCAAAGGAATGCTTCCAAGAACCATAAACTGCAGGTTTATCCACAGGCACTTTTTTTGATTTTTTGCAAAGGTAAGAGCTTGCCCGTCCCTGTAGACTTCCTTGATAAAAGGAATCCAAATTTTCTCTGAAAAGGCAACATACCCTCCAGGCTTCAACTTTAAAAAGTGCCAGCCTTATCAAACAAAACAGAGTTAGCGTCTCTGAATTTAGGGAGACCTGCTGAAGCAGCCTCTTCATGGCCAGAATCCCCTGAAACAAAGGATCACTTTCCTCATTATCAGCAACCTCCACTCCCTCAGAAAGGGGGGGGGGGTCGTCTGGTAGGAGTGTCTCTCGTGGCTCTTTTGGTTAGAGGTCTACACCACAGGGCAGTAAGCTAACTCATAAATTAATCTAAGGAGGAAGAAAATTCCAGCTTGCCTAAACAGAAGGCATGTTGATTGGGTTGGAAGTGGTGGGGGGTTGGAGGGGGGAGGGAAGCCCCCCTACTGGGGGATAAGCAGGGATGACCTGTAATGTGGCTTCAAGAGTGGACCCTACTTTTGGGGCTTCCCTTTGTACTTTAGACAATGTTTGGATTCAGCCGCTGCGGTACAGTCCCTCCAACATGCCAAGGGCACTGATCCCGAAACTGTGCAAGTAGTGGGCAGCTTGGTATCTAAAGTGAGAATCCACTCAGGCAAATAAACACAAGTAAAACTTATAAGCTCCCTCAATAGAGGAGAAAGCCATCACATAAGGACACTAGCAAAAAAATTAAGTTGCGGGGAGTGTGGGAGGAGTTCTGTGATGGTCCTATCAGCTGTTTCCCAGTGTACAATTACCTGAAGGTGGGAGCATTTAACTCAGCTGTCTATTGTACAATAAAGAAATAAATATTTTAGTTTACTTCGGAAATTGTACTGAGATATATTAAAAAGGCTGCTGAAGTTGGGGTCACCTCCTGAAAATGCTGGTTTGGCTCTTGGCTGCAATAATTTAGTCACTGAACTGAAGAAACATGCAGAAGTGAAAGACATAACATCAGATTTGCATTGTTTCAGGTCACTGACTAACATTTTCAGAAGACTAAGAATGAATATGACACTGGACCCTGCCAGACCATCCATATCTGCGTTGTGGTCACTGGCTTTAACAGCATGGTATTAAAGCCCAGGACTTGATAAAGAGGAGCATTGTCTGACAATGCTAGAGGTGCGCATGTCCACTTTTTGCAATGTTTACTTTAGGCCCAAAAGTTTTTGCCCCAGGAGAGGCTGAGGGACAGATTATCTCCTTTCTACAGCTGGATCTGTACAAGCATCTTCCCCTCAGTATTATTAAGGGTCAGATCTCTGCCTTAGCTTTCCTGTTCAAGAGACAGTTGGCGCCTAACTCTTGAATCAAGACCTTTGTTCAGGGGATAGGTTCATGTGGTTTCCCATGTCAAATTACCTCTTCTTCCATAGATTCTAAATTTGGCTCTGTTGGTGGTTCAAAGATCTCCCTTTTAGCCTGTCAGAGACATTCCTCTTTCTGTTTATACCCACAGATTGCGCTTCCCTATGGCCATCGCCTAGATAAGTCTCTGAACTGGCAACCATTTCTGATCCTTCACAGGAAAAAGGCACTTTTGGTCACAAAAGTGATAATCATTGGCTTCCTTTAGATTTATTTCAGAATAGCCTTGTATGCCAAACTAAGTTTTCCCTCAGCTCAACCACCTTGATTTCCCGAGATAAGAAAAAAAGCTGACAGCAGCGAAAATAATTAGGCTTTAACGTTCACAGTGCAAAACTGAATAAAATCCTTTACCCCTAATAAAAAGGTGGTCTACTCCCAAAATAAATTAAACCTAATGATAAATAACAGGTCTACTTTAAATCAGTGGAACAAAATAAAAGAATATTGTAACTGAAGCTTAACCTTTTTCTGTGTGCTTTCATCTGAAGAGCTCTCATCACTGGATACAAACTCTTTGCTCTTAACTGTGTTAGTTTTAACAGGTGTTCTTGCAGGAGAGGCAGCTTTCGCAGATTTTTTCTTTTCAGTCTTCCCAGGCGTCTTTTTCTCTCTTTTTTGCTTCTTCTCCCTTATTAAAAAAGCAGGTTAAAGACAGTAAATCACTGGGTAAAAACAGGGCTATTGTAACCTCAAAAAAGCAAATGCATCTCACTTTTTTGGAAACTTCAGAGGGAGGGGCATTTTTGTTGTACTCTTTCATGGCTTTCTCATAGTCACGCTTTGCTTCCTCAGCTTTACGGTCCCATTCCTGTTAAAGGGAAATCAAGAGTCTTACCATAGTACCGTATGCATATTTCACATAGACCTAGACTCAAATATTAAACACAGTTTTGTAGGGATAAAGTGTAACAGAATTATTATTATACAGGATTTATATAGCGCCAACAGTTTGCTCAGCGCTTTACAAAATAAAAGGAAACAATACAGTTCAATACAATGGTGTTAGGAGGGCCCTGCTCCTTGGAACTTACAATCTAAGAGGAATGGGCTGGTGGTACAAAAGGTACTGGAAATACTGAATTGTTTCTATGAAGGGTAAGCAATTCAGCCAAGCTAAGCAGGTGAGCATGAAATATGATTTTAGGCATCTAAACTCACAAATAGTAACTGACAAAGATGACTGTATAATGGCAAAAATTAATAGGTAATGCAGAATCTTTTTACAAACAGCATTTGCCTGTCTGATTTTGCGGATGAAATGTTGCCAAGAAAGTGTCATCACCCCAGAGTTCAGGAGAATGCCCAGTATATGGGGTACGTCATTGGCAAGGGTCATGGTAAACTGCAAATGAGCAAGGTAGGAGCTATCAAGGAGATATAGATAAGCTGTTTATAGAAGGTAGCCCACATATTACTAAATCTACATTTAAGAAGAACTAAATGCATTTTTTTCCCCCATTTTGGATATAGTAGGGGGAGGGTTATAACCCTTTTAAGTTTCTTTTTTTTCATCTGCGTCCCATTGGGAAGATTTCCCTTCACTTCCCGTCCAATAGTCAAAACAGGAAGTGAGAGGAAATCCCTGGTTGTCACCCATGTCACCACAACTAGGGTCTTCATTGGATGATGTCCCCTCTATTTCTGTTTTGGTCACACCACAAAAATTAGAGGGTGAATCTCCCTCATGAGGGAACAAACAGAAACCTGACCGGTGTTCTCAATCCTCTCCACTCTATCCAAAACTAAATCACAAATTTACTTTAGTTATACTTTAATCACTTGTGTACTAACCTGTATTACCCCTTAATTACCAGCCCATTTCCATATTTTTGTGATAGTTTGACAGACAATTACTCTGTCATGCAACAACGTACCCAAATAAGTTTTATATAATTTTTTTGGAGAGAAAGATTTCTTTAAGCAGTATTTATTAACTGTTATATTTTACTATAAAAAGTAAAAAAAAAAACAAAAAGCGGTTTCCCTTATTATGTTAACACAAAAATGCCAGAATAGTACGTAAACCCCCAAAATGACCATTTTTTTTTTTTTAAAAGTAGACACTAAAAAGTGATCTCATTCTTTGCAGAAATGTTTTGGAATTGGTGCATTAGATACATCAAATGTACAGGTCATACACAGAGGGAGGAGGAAGTGAAGGGGTTAATGTACTGGTCCATACGGTGGCAGGATGGAGATGAAAGGGTTAATGTTCAGATGAGCAGCATAAGGGAGGTGAAAGCATAAATATACAGGTCACATGGAGACAGCATTGAGATAGTATGTGTAATAGAGGAGGGGGACATGAAAGGTTTAAGAAAAAGTATCCCTGTGTCACTAAAAGAAACTCCAACAGACAAATCAAGGCGATCACATGGTAACCAGCTCCATGGATGAGCTCGGTACAGCGTCTCTGTCCCAGCATCTGTCTCTAATGACAGTTTGGTATATGGCGATTACCAGTCAGATCGGCCGACAGATAGCTAATTATCCAGTGCTGTTCATAAAAAGCAGCAAATACATGCCCACCAATCTGCCGTTGAAAAACATAGTGGTAGAAAAGTATGCCACCTCACCCACAATGACATGTCACAGATAGCCAAATGGGAAAGCAGAGCTCTCAAACATGTTCTTTCTTGTTCTCTGTCCTGTTAAGATGATATGCTGCTCTGTTCACTACAGCATATACTGGTAGACTCACAGTATATCTAAAGCTTTTTTTTTTTTCTTTTTTTCCATTTTATATTATGTAGGGAATAGTAAATCCCTGTCAAGTGTGTTTGTGTTTTTTTTCTTTTTTAGGGGATTCAGGGTCCCATTTGATAAATTTATTTTCCTGTCCTGTAGACACAACTAGAAATAAGAGGAACATTCTCTATTAGACAATGGTCATCGATGAAGTGTCCCAATTAAAAGATTTCCCATCCACTTCTCTTAGTGACAACTCAAAATTTTGGATTTTCCCTCAATTTCAGTCCAAGTAACAATGGTTACCAATACAGGAGTTCTCAGGAGTGTAAAGTCCAACCTCCAATGTCATCAATATTCCGAGTCCTGATGAATGGGAAGCCTGACTCCATAAATATCCTGTAGCATATGTGAAACATGCTAGGCTGCTTTAGTAGGGAAAACCCTATCATGCAAGTGGCTTTACATTTTTGTGTCTTCAATTTGAACTTTAAGTGTACGTGTAGAACACTTGAGCTGCCTGTGCAGTGCTTATTGCACCTCATTTACACTATACTCCACAAACCTGCTGGTTGGTTTATTTTGGATTAATAGCCAGCAAACTTATCTTTTAGAATAAAACCTAAAAGAGATTCTGTCGAACGCTAATAAAGTTTAGCCTTTACATGCACTTTAAGACCTTTGATGACAGCCTGCACAATTCCAGAAAAGGTAAGAGGTATTAAACTTGGAGTCCCCACAAAAAAAATAAAAGTAACCCTGCTAATTTTTTTTATCACATCTGGCATGGTGGCTCTTAAAGCAGAAATGTGGCCAGACTATGAACAATATTTACATATTCTTAGCAAGCAGTAAATAAGCTTTAAAAAAAAAAAAAAAAATGACTGACCTCTAGAGTGGTCGATACTGTGGGACAATTCATCTTTAAAATTCATAAGGGAATCAATGAAGTTGTGTAAATCTGGTTACAGCATTCACCTCTCTCCTCTTCACTTTGTGTTAACATTAAAGAGAAAAAAGCTGCCAGGCTGCCAAATCACCACTTTGGCATGGGGAAGGAAGGAGGGGGATCATGTAAAAACTTGTTTAGCATATGTGAATATTTGAATGACAATAGCCTCGTCAGTTTAGATAAAAACATTTTTATCATATCTATAATTTTTCTTCTTTTTACCTCTTTCTTCTCCTTGGACATCCCCTTCCATATTTCGCCAGCTTTCTTAGACAAATCAGTAATACTAATCCCAGGATTATCCCCCTTTATCTTCTCACGGCTAGCATTTAACCATAACATATATGCTGACATCGGACGTTTAGGCGCTGCAGGGTCTTTGCCTTTCTTTCCCTTGAAAAGACAAAACAAATCTTATTAAGAGGCCTGTTACAGAAGCCAGCCTTAGCAGCCAGTACGTAACATTCATATACTTACCTCTGGTTTCTTGCGTGGCTTCTTCTCTTTACTAGGTTTGGACTCCTTGGGTTTTTTTGCTGGCTTTTCCTCATCACTGTCAGCACTGGAAGAGCTTGCTGAAGGGTTACTGTCAAATCTGTATAAACAGATTAAAGAATGGCTCAGGAAAAAGTGTTGAACACCAACAAAGGCAATATAAATTCCTGTTTTTCCTTTTTTTTTTTTTTTTTGTATAAGTGATCACATTCCCACTGTTATCAGCTGGATAACAAAGAGTTGGGGAGGAGAAACAGCACCATACTGGTCTTCCCATTGGATGGCTGTGGTGGGAAAAGGGGGGGGGGGGGGGCGTGTCAGCACAAGCCTGAGCATTGGATTAGCTTCCAAGCACAGCTAGATAACTGACCACGGTGTGCTCTTATGCCTAGCAGGGTCATTTTTTTAATAGGAAAGCAGAGAGACTGGCAGAAACACCAGGTATTTCATACAAATGAAGCAATACGAATAACAGAATACATTTTCATACAAGTACCTACTGTCAGGCATATAAAATGTTGGGTTTACATATTCTTTACCACCCCCCCCCCCCCCTTCATTGTGGTCAGTGTCAGGGAAGGTTAACCCTCCACCGGAATTGTTGGTCATGATAGTGAACACTGACCCCCCTGCCCCCATTGGTGATCACTTATCCATCACACGCTCCCACTCTGCTCTCTCTCTCTCCCCAGGCAGGGATTTTACTTGTAGTGTGGGCCCAGATAACTCCACCCACAGTATAGCCTCTCTCATTCATTGTCAGGTGCTGAAACACAGAGATCGTTACAGCACTCAGTACCACACTGCCAAATAGTCTAAGGGCCGAATACAGGGGGCCAGTTGGGCACCAGGGTCTAGAAGGTATATGATATTTGCAGAAAACGTAAATAACTTACTCTTCTGCAACTTCTTCTTCTTCCTCTCTCTGGGTTAAACGATTCATCTGCAAAAAACACATAACTTAGAAAATAAGATTTATTGATGTTTACTTTTCAAGAACTTTACTTAAGCTAGGCTAGGAAGCATTAATCTTTCAAAAAAGCTGCATGAAAGTACAGTGGGGCTGCTTTGTCTAGGGAATCTGGCAGCGCGGCTCAAGATCAAACCCGCTTGAAACAGCTTCCTATGGTGGCCGAGGAGAGAAGGAGCCAGAAGTGCAGGAGGAGGACCCTAGAAGAAGGAAAGAGGCGCTCTGTGCAATTCTATTGCACAGATCAGGTAAGTGTACACCTGTTTGTTACTAAAAATAAATAAATAATAATAAACTTTACAATCACTCTAAGCAGACCACACACTAGCAGATTTCCAAAAGGATATTTATACATACAAAAATTCTCATCTGTACATTACAAACACTGTTTAAAAGTACTCGAAGCTTGCTTTTAACACATTCAATTTTGGAGTGAATAGACTTTTCCTGAACATATTATTATGTCTGCACCAATTTTATAGCATAAACTTTTAAACATGTTTCCCCACCAGATTCATCTCCGGAGTCATCTGTGTCAGCATTCTCTCGGATTTTGCCTTCTTCCTTCATCCTCTCCAGGTAAGCATCATGATGCTGGTCATCATCTGAGTCTGCATAGTCATCATATGCCTGCTTCATGCCCTGATGGAAGGAAGGTTAGTCAACAAAGAGGTATGAAATGCTGGACATCATGTAGTGCAATAGCAGCACATCTACATAGAGGCTTCAAATCCACGTAGATATAAAATGAAATATCATACAAGATCCCCATGGGACTTTTAAGGTAGATAAGACAATCATATAAATTCCAATAAAAGGCTAATATGCCAGATTTATTGCAAAAGGTCCACAAAGTATACAGTTACATTACATACACAACAGCGTATTATATAAACACGGCTAAAAAGCATTTAAAGTGTTACTAAACGCGCAACAGTAAAATAAGTCTGTATATGCGTACTGCAGTAAAGCATGCTTTTATACGCACTATGGAATCTAAGGGGTTAATCCTCTAGATTGTGTAAAAAGGCTGTTTGATCCTGACATCCCTGATCCTCCCCTTCTTCCAGTGTCCCCCTCTTATCTTCTGATAAGACATATCTGTGGAGTCATTCTGCACGTGCTCAGTTTGGTGTGTATTGCTTCTGAGGTTTTTTTTTCTTGGGAGAGTACATGTGATCAGCACAGGGTCCATCAGCACTGTCCAGAGAGATCAGGGGTTCTGCAACCTCGTAGAGAGTAAAATGAAAACTCCTCCTACAAGTTTTAGCATGTACTCTGCTGGACACTGATAGAACTCACAAGACTGCTCTAACTGTTGACGAGAAAAGGTATTTAGCCGTTTGTATTTACTAAAATAATTGCACTTCCATGTTCTGTGTACTGTGAGACCACATATAATTAATGCAGGGTCCTGGGTTTAGTAACACTTTAAAACCCTACGTGTCCATAGTATATAATGAATTGTAATATGCCTATCGTGGTTTCAATTTTAGTGTAAACATCAGGTCAAAACCCAACATGTTTCAGAAAAACTCCTCCAGGGGATAAAGCCAGGGGTATGCTGTGTATACTAGAGCAATCATAACATATAAATAACTGAATACAGATGGTTACAGGACAAGGGCTGCCAACAAACATCTCGTCCACCCCGCACCTGTATGGGGATACAACCCAAGGACCAATGCACATCCACTGGGGCCAACATTGTGGACATCAAGATGGGAGCAGGTGGCTGCCCCGTTTCACACAAGTGGCCCCAGAGTATTTTTTATGTATGTAAGGTAACTGTATACATTTTGGATCTTTTGCAGTAAATTTGCCATATTATTCCTTTATTGAAATATACACGATTGTCTTATCTGCCTTAAAAGTCTCATGGGGATCTTTTATTAGATTTTTCAGTTAAGTTAGGGATGCTGGCAGTAAGAAATATCACCCACCCATTCCTTCTATTGTAAATGTAAAAGTGTGTGTTTCAATATTTTCAATCAAATTTGATAAAACCCCACTATATGTTTGTTAGGTATTCCCATTCACAAAGCGTAATTAAAAGTAATTAAAAACACATTTTATACATTTGTAGGTGTATTGAGCAGGCCTTGGACTAACTACAAGCTACAATGAACAATTTAAAATGAGAAGAAATACAATCACTAACAAAGAGGGACACAAGCCCAGCTTCTATCTAGATCTTTAGTAATTTGTTAGGGCAGGTGGTGTCCAAACTAGGTTACAACTAATGAAACTGTGTGGAACACACCTCTTGCTGGGGTGTTAACTGTTGCCAATTTCCATCAATTTCTTATTTTTGGTACTTGAGCATAAAAGAATGTTATTTATACATGCAAAGGTGATTTTTATAAAAATCCAGACAAAAAAACAGGAGTGTAGATACAATACACAGCCCTGACCAAGCCCCTTGGGGATAAAAAGCCTCGTATTATAAAGGCAGGAAGACACAAATACATTAGACAAAATGTATATGTGAATCACAAAACCAAGTACAAATTCTTAACCACTCTAACATCTCCATAACAATTACAGCACTATACCCATTAATATTATTCTCAAATTTAGAGGTATAGCCTTTGTAAAATGCAGTGTTATGCAGTCTAATAATTATTGCTTTGTGAAAGCATATGGTGGTTCCAGGCAAAATCCCTAGCTAAACCAACTTAATGGAAATTTAAAGATCCATTAGGAGCAAGTAAACTGTATCTCTGTACACTTATTTTAAAAGCCTAGCACAAAATAAGCATGTTCTAATCCCACAGCACACAATTTGTAGATTTCAACGTCACTAAGGAAGCATAGGAATTTTCTCTGGAGAACTGGACAGAGTCACATTCTTAAAAAAAAAAAAAAAAAAGAAAAAAAAAAAAGTCCTCTGCATACTAGCACACTATGACAAACTTCCCTTATAACAACGCCCTCCAGCGGCACGTGGTCACTGCTGACAGGGCTTCCTTCCTCACCTGGTCTTCCTTCCAGGTTCTTGACTTCGGCTGTTTGACTGGCTAAGTTTCAATGACGTCACTACTGCGTATGCATGCGGAAGTCAAAAGGCCCAGCCCAGCTCTCTTAATGGACGGCGCGCCCTAAAGAGAGCGCAGTAACCATGCGCCAGTGATGTCCCCAGCTGCTTTTATAGTAATCGCCTCCTAAACAGTGCACGTTTAGAGAGATATTTACTGTACATACAAGTAAGCCTGCAGGGTCACCGCATGGAGGTGAGGGGCCATTTTGCACCTAGAGAGGGATTCATAGTATCCTGTTGCATATTTTGGTGATTACAGGACTACAGAACACCTCCACCATTTGGATGGTTCTGGACACTTTCTATAGATTGGACACTTCATTTTTTCACTTTTTAGGACACGATAATTAATATTTTTGGGGTTTGGTTTTTTTTTTTTTTTATGTTAGTGGGTAGATTATCCACTGTCGTTATGTATATGTTTGTGGATATATGGAAAGTGTGAAGCATTGTTTGAAGTCACTTATTTTCACGCTTATTTAGAACCCCCATTTGGGGTTATGTATCACATCTACAGGCATTTAGCCTATTTTTTTTTTTGGTGGTGTTCACCCATCCCCAGTAGGGGGGCACTACTGTGTACATAGTGATTGTTAGTGATTTACAGGCGTTGAGCCTGATCTTTTCTTTCTTTCTTAATTACCACATTTGTGCTTTCACGGATTCACTTTTTTTTTATCCCATATTGGGATCACTAGCATTGTTTAAATTCACAAGTTATTTTGAGATTACACATGCGTTTATTCATTTGATTCCTCTTTATTTTTTCGTAGGTTTACCACAAGGAGTGGTTTCACTGATTCACTTTGTCTTTATCCCCCAGTAGGATCACTATTATTTCTTTCACAC